CTTCGGCAATATTGCAGATAATAAATGAGACTATTTTTAAAAATATGCACTCTAAAAAAATTACCCAACTTTTTTAAAATTTCAAATAAAATCTTAAAATAAAAATATCCCAGAAAATATTTTTTTTTTGTATTTCTTTATTTGTTGATATGTTTTAAGTGACAAAAAATTCGATCCTAATAAGAGAAACGCGAAATACATTTAAAAATGGCCAAAAACTACCAACATTTTAAAAATATCTACTTTGAAACCGCTACATTTCGAAAACGGTGCGACTTAGCAAAATTTTACTTCGGTGCTTTTTATGGTCGCAGTAGTGTTAGGTCCCGAACAGAGGAAAAAAAATATTGTAAATTTGGTGTACTTTCATTATTTAAAATCGAAACAGTAATTGGACCAAGTTTTGCATATTTTTCCAAAAACTTGAGTTTTTTTTTAAATCAGAACTGTTTTGTCCATCATTTCTCCGTCTTGACCTATAGTACAAAAGATGGCATTTGTTGTCTCCTAAAACATATCAACAAATAAAAAATACAAAAAATCCTTTTTTGAGAAAAATTGTTTTTAAGACTTTATTTGAAATTAAAAAAAAAAAAAAAAATTAAAAAAAGTTGGGTGAATTTTTTTTACGTTGCATATTTTTATCAAAAAGTCTTATCTATTACCTGCAATATTGCCCAAGATACCAAACCGTTAGGACAAAGAGTTTTCGAGTAAAAATTTACTGAAGATGAGCTTGATATTTTTCTATATGGCATTTTCAAAAATAAGGCTGGATTTAAATTGGCGATATGAAGATGCAAAATGGCATAGTCGGTCATGAGGAACGCAAATTGTCAACCATATAAAAAATACGAATTATTAGGAAATTGCTCATAGGTATTTTTGGAATCGGGATGGCGTTTATGGGTCAGAAATCTATATCCGACGCCATTTTGAAATCCAAGATGGCGGCCTCCGGTTTTAGGAAAAGTTGTAAATTCTGTCAAATACACATACATACGGTTTTTTTAGAATCAGGGTAACGTCTAACAGTCGGAAATCGATATCCGACGCCTTTTTAAATTCCAAGATGGCGACTTCCGATTTGCGGAAAAGTGTCAAATACCCTAAAATATGTTTATTTTCAGAATGGGGATGAGACAAAGATGTCGAAAATTGATGTCACGCCGTTCTTTAAATCTAAAATGGCGGCGTTGATTCAGAGAAACTGTGAAATACTATCGAATACCGATCAATGTGGGATTTTTGGAATAGGGTGACATCTAGAAGCCAGAAATCGATGTCCGACGCCATCTTGAAATTCAAGAAGAAGAAGTGTCAAGTGGCCTGCAAATGACATCTAATATCGATTTTCAGGATCTACGCGTCGTCCCCGTTCCAAAAAATACCCAGATAAGGGAAATGGCTCTAATGTTGGCCTATGGATCTAAGATTGGGCCCATCGCTAAAAATCTGGTATTTATCAATTTTATCTAGATGAATGCGTCATTGGGACGGTACTAATGGATATTTTTGGTCGCTATTGAAAATTTAGTCGATTGCTGAATTTATGTACGGGCCCAAATTAGGGGCTTTAGGCCGACATTACATACATTTCCCCTATTAGGGTATACACTTTTTGTGAAACCCGATGACCGCTATATTGGATTCCAAAATGGCATCGGCACGTTGTCCCGTTCCGAAAATACCCATATTGTCGGGTATTTGATACTTTCTGAACCCTAATGGCCGCCATATTAAATTCTAAAATGGTATCTGATACCGATTTTCGGCTCTACGCGTTGTCCCCGTTCCGAGAATAATCATATTGTAGGGTATTTGACACTTTTTCTGAAACCCGATGGCCACCATCTTGGATTCAAAAATGGCGTCGAATATCTGTTTTTGGCATCTACGTGTTGTCCCCGTTGCGCAAATACCCATATTTTAGGGTATTTGACACTTTCTGAATCCTGATGGTCGCCATATTGGATTCCAACATAGCGTCGGATATCGATTTTTGACATCTACGCATCTGCCGTTCCGAAAATACCCATATCGTAGGGTATTTGACACTTCAGAAAACCAATGGCCACTATCTTGAATTCCAAAATGGCGTCGGGTATCGATTTTCGACCTTCGCGTCGTTCCCGTTCCGAAAATACACATATTGTAGGGTGTTTGAGACTTTTCCTGACCCCGATGGCCGTCATCTTGGATTCCAGAATGGCCTCGTTTATTTAATTTCATTTGATATAAAAGAATATACTATTATTACATATAATCCGGATAGGGATGGCATCCGGTAACCGATATTGTGCGGATACTATATTTTCATGCTTGACGTCCCGATGCGTCGAATGAGCCCAAATTGAAGTGAAAGTGGAAAAAAACGAAGGAAGCAGTTTACGAGTCATCCGTTTTTTTTTTAATTATTTTATTTGTACAGGCTCAATCGAATAAACTTTACAGAGCCAAGTTATCATTTTCTTTATACATTATAAATGTCTTAAATCTAAAATTAAAGGATTTGACCGATTACTCGCGGTCTTCTCGAGGTTAGTGGATGAAAATTGTTAGGATCGGGAGAGGGAAAAGGGGATTTGAAATATGAGAATCATTCATTGCGTCAATTGAAACAAGCCTTTGCTTCAAATGAAATGAACTGAAGCACTTAACGAACAAAACAATGACTTACACGAAAATGATATTGCTCGAAATGAAGCGATTCTGCGAAGAGTTCATTTTCGTTCCTTTGATTCGAAAATGCAGAGCCCTGATTCGGGAGTACTGAGGGGTTGACCGAATCTTGCGAAGGAGGTTGTTGGTTTAAAGCGGTATAGGAGCCCTAATAAAAATTGGCTTCTCCGTCTGCTGCTGATGGCTTGCCAACTGGGGAGTGGCAAGGGATATTTGCGAGGTGTTGTCACTGATATTCAGACAGATTAGCACGATCGGAGTTTGTGGGTCAGAGAATGGGACGGTGGTTATGGACCAGAGGCAGAGGAGGGAGGGTCGAGTATTTAAGCCGGATTCCTTTTAGAGTTTCGATTGGCTGACTTGGCTTGGGGTAGATTCTAGTCCTATCGTTGATCTTCCAGACGTTGGAAATCAATTTACGGAACTGAGAAGCGAATCTGCTGGATCCTTTTCCTGCGTAGGGTCCAAGACTGCATCAACTTTACTGGACTTTGCATTGCTTTAATGGACGGGTAGATGAGGGCGGTTGTTGTTTTTGCTCCGGGAAGAGTATAGTGGCCTAAAATAATGTTCATGCGATTTTCTGCACGATCAAGAAAGTGACAGTAAATACATACACACTAAAACTAATTAGAGTAAACAGATCTAAATCAGACTCAACATCTAGATAGAGCTGGAATTAGGGCGTAATAACTTTTGTAAACAATGACTTCTTTTGATGATTTCTAGAAAGTTAAGGCCGACGGTTATGTTGGTTTGCGTTGGCGTGCCTTGAGTTTCTAGAAATCATCGATAGAAGTCATTGTTAACAAAGGCTGTTACGCCCTAATTCCAGCTCTATCTAGACATAATCTTCGATGAATAGTGGATGAAATCGGATGATTATTAAGTAAATTTTGTTTAAATCTGTTAAATGAAATGTAGATTGGATTACTTTTGTCCCTCTCGCGTCTATGTCATAAATTTGACTCGCGGTGGTCCAAACCCAACGAGATCATATATTAAATTTCAAAATAATATCGGTGGATTTTGGCACGGTTTGATTTTGGCAACTCAAAAATTTCGGATTTTGGAGCCTTGTAAGCTGAAAAAGTTCACAGAAGTCACTCAACCTCTAACACTTAAAGCACTAGGACTTTTGTCTTGCTAAATACCTATCCTGGACTATTGTGCACTTTTCAGATTCAAACAGCAGGTGAAGGTAATTTTGATTGCAGGCGCTACCGACGGTTGTCGATTAACAACGCTGGTGATTTAAGAATAAACACGAGAAGCATTGATTCAAGAAAATTAGCAAAATGATCTTAACATTTTTTCTTCTATTATTCGATGACCGGTAAGCTTCCTGTTCTAAAACTGATAAATTACATTACACTTTTATCATAGTTTGAAACGAAATGTTTTGGTTTATTATTTCGATGTATCTTCGCTAGTAACATAAATTTTAACAAAAAATATAAATTTAAAAATTCTGCTATGACAGCTGAGTGCATCTAGGAGAGTTTGAAATAAACATTATTGTTGGTTGAGCGGGCTCACCAGAATGCCGAACTGAGTCGATTTGGACGGAGATAGTTTGAATGTCATTTTTTGGATTGAGGGTGGGCTCTTCTCCCCATCAGCTTGTTAAATGGCTTGTTTTTTACTGGTTGTATGATTCTGTTGTTGGAAGGAGAATTTCAACTATCCCGTGGATGCACGTAGGCCTTTTTTGGCCCTTGATACAATAGCAGGTTGAGTACAATTGTAGGTTATTAAACTTGATCAAGTCAAACGGTGGGGACAGCCAACAGCTATGAGCATGTGTCTCATCATCATCATCAATGAGAACTAGTAGCGTCGCTCCTGGAATCTCGATGCATTTTATTGTTTTGAAAATAATGTTTGCAAAACTCACACAATTTTCAAAATCCACTCTCCTTCGGAAACGCCGCGCGTCGCACCAAAACATCCGAACCGCGCACGCCATTATTCGCGGAAGAGAGAAGAACATACCGTAACTACCTTACTGCCGTATAAATAGCATTTATAACACGGTTCGTTTTAGAAGAAGCTACCTCATCGTCGTCGTCGTCGTCGCCGTTTAGTAAGTTTAGCGAGACAGATCAGATCCTCCGTCTATCGCGGTTCGGTCCACCGTCGTCGAGTGAGAGCGTGTTGTTGCAACTGTGTGTGCGGGTGTTGTGAGCATTCAGAGAGGGAGACCAAACATCACACATTTTTCGGGGGACGACTATACAACACGAAACATTCATACTACAGATGTGAAGAGCAGTCAGCCAGCAGCAGACTCAGACAGTCCGAAAGTGGCAGCAAGACAAGGTGGAATGGTTAACTAGCCGACGATAGTGTAGTGAAGTTTTCACTCGATTTCTCAGTTGAGTTTTTGAGGTGCGATTTTCTTTTCCGAGGAATTCGAAGTAATTTTCTGCGATATTTCAGGGGTGACTGAAAGCAAGTGATTGAGGAAAAATTGCTACTCTGCCGGAGTGACTACAGTTTGACAGACCGAATTGACAGAGAGGGATCGGTGCGAGTGCTGTCAAAACACAGTTCCCGAAGGCGAAGCAGTGAAGTTTGTGAAAGTGTGCACAGTGGTAGCTATTTTTAAAATCTGATTAGATGTTGCAGCAAAACGGAAAGAAAATCATTTCTCGAGCTTTTTGTGAAATCACCACCCGAAAAGAGCGTGTTGTAGACGATCAGCAGTAAGAGGGGACAACGGCTATAGCCGACTGTAATAAGCGAAAAAAAAAAGTTAATATTATTCTTTTCCCCGTCCGCGCTCCGCGTCTTGTCACCGTCATCGTCGTCGTCATCGTCGCTGTCGTGTGCGTACGTGCGGGGGAATTTTCTGTTTTATTGTGTCTGTGAGGTTTAGTTTTTTTTTGCAGTGTAGAAAGAAAAGTGAATCGTTCGTTCGGATAAGCACAAGCAAAAATAAATACATAGAAAATAAGCGAAATCACATCAGTTTTGTGTGTGATTAATAATCCGCAGAAGCAGCACAGAGATAGAGAGAGAGAGAGAGAGTGGAAGGGCATAAAACGAGCAGTGTGATAATAAGAGCAAAACCACGTGCAGTAAGAAAAAGCCAAGAATTGTGGAGTGTGGCAAAACGAAAAAAAAAAAAGTGCACGGCATAGTCTGGAGAAAATAAGATCCAATAAATTATCTGCGTGATTTCGTTTCGGGGGAAGCAAGCATCCGAGAAGAGTGTGCATACAAAGAAGAAGAAGAAAAACGAGCGAAGTCTCGGATTTCCTCTTCGCTGTCGCCGTCGTCAACAGTGTGTGCGGTGGAATCTTCTTTTGGTGCACAAAAAGGATTTCTGCCTGTGGAGGGAGGGGTGCACGAGGAGTACAGTAACAATCAGCAACAACAGAAACAACAATCACAGGAACTACAACAACAACAACAACAACACCAGCAGCATCATGGAGGCGGTTGCGAAACACGATTTTAACGCCACGGCCGACGATGAGCTAAGCTTCCGGAAGAACCAGGTTCTAAAGGTAAGTGCTGCAAAATGCCATTTTTCCGGGATTTTCCACTTAATGGGATTCGTTAAGGGATTATTATGCTGATGGAAATCGGATACGAAGGATGGGATGGGAAATTATGGAAAATTTTCAACTTTAAAGTCATATACTCACGGTCACGGTTGTGATACCGGTTCAGTGTCATTATGGGAAGGTTGTTCGCGATAAAAGATGTTGATCTTCACGTAGACAGAACCCTCTACCCTGTGTGGACAATCATCCATATACATGTTTGATTTATTTTACAACTCCCTGATCTAGAAGTACAAGTCTGTTATCGTCGAAATTTGTCCAGATTATAATTTTTATTCTCTTGGCTGAGATATAAAATTTGTCATATTTTTTCACAAACTTACTAACGTTTCGAAAAAAAAATCTGGTCCAAAATATGTTTATAATATATTTTAATTTGATTGACATAGACTTAAAAAAACAAAAGTATACGTATATTAAACATTGCTCAGCGCAGAAAGCTCTACCTTGTTATTATAGAGAATTTAAACTTGAGAATTCATTCGCCTTTTAGAAATATTTGATGATATTTTCAAATATAGGGGAAATGGATGTAATGTCGGCCTAAATGCCCCTAATTTGGGCCCATACATAAATTCAACAATCGACTAAATTTTCAATAGCGACCAAAAATATCCATTGGTACCGTCCTAATGACGTGTTCTTCTAGATAAAATTGATGAATAGCATATTTTTAGCCATGGGCCCAATCTTAGATCCATAGGCCAACATTAGAGCCATTTCCCCTATCTAACTTTTCTTGCCCCTCGATCTCAATATACTAGCTTTTTTACTTCGTGATCTGGAAAGTTGTCCAAGACTAAGATTTCGAAAAATGGCATAGGGAAATTTTCAAGCTCTAAAATATTTGAAGCTCGCTTGCTTTAAATTTGTTCAAACATCGAAAAAAAAAATCATGTCGCAGAATCTTGAGTTCTTTTGTAAGTTCATTAAATTGTAGTATATTTTTTACAAACTTGTAATCCGGAATCAAAAAATTTCCATGCCCAAATAAAAAAAACCATGCTAAAAATAATAAAATGTTTTTTCTGTTTTTCTAGGATTCAAAATATCGGGAAAATAATTTCATGGCCGCACAAATTTTCTTAATTTGTTTATCTTTGATGTTTCGAATTTTTGAGTCCCAGTATTAAAAAAAAACAATGATCCAAAATCTTTAAAATTTATCCCGAAATCTTAAAATATATTTTAAAGATCGAGATTTTAAGTTCTAGGCGCATGCAACATTGTATATGCCCGTGATCTTTCCATCCTGGAATGTTTTCCTCGTTTCAGAATCAGTGTTGGGAAAATATCAAAAAATCAAATCTCACCAACGCCCAAGATCACGCTTGATTTTCGTAGACAAAAATCAACAAGCAAACTACTGCGGTTGATTTTGCAAGCTTGTGATATCGCAGCTCGGAATATCAAACTAACAAAACTCACCAGCTGCAAATCTCTCCAAACTGTGGTGAGATTGAGTTTCATGATTTTTGCTTTACACCCGAATGCAACCGAAACTTCCATAACGGCTTGCAGCAGTCCCTTCGCGTCTGCCATCGGTGAAGATTAAAAAGAGATAGCAAACTATGCTTTCTCTTTCTAAGAAAACGATGTGCAATGGAATCATTTTTGTGTCGAGTCAACTCTCAGCTTGATTTTTGCACGTTGTGAATAGTCTCGCAATATCAAAGGAGCTTGTAAAATCAATATCAAGCAAGAACAAAATCAATATGGAACAATCACGCGTGATATTGCGAGCCCATGAGAGTGGAAAAATATCAATTGCAGTGGCGTTTCCTTAACCTCAATCTACCTGTGCACCAACTCTCAAAACATAAACAATTATCAAAATATTGCTTGCAATTGATAGATATCGAGTAAACTAGAAAATTAAGTGAATTTTCAATCGATTCGAGTATGAATAAGGCAATAAATCTTGTTTTGAAATTCGGTGCTTTTGCTAAGACTGTTCAGAATAATGAGATTTTTTATAGACTACGATCTTGAAAAGTGGTCTTGGACCCAGAAGTACAGAAGTTTCTTTGTCCTAGATCTTTGAAATTGTCAACATTTGTCTAAGTCCGAAAACTTGAATATTTGTTTGTGTATATAAATGTTTCATTCTAATCACCAATACGCGATGTGAACCTTAAATCAAAAAATCAACTTAGTAAATTAAATGTTTAAAAAAATCGAGGTAGAAAAATTTGAATTGAACCATATTCTTATGGAATTAATACTGATTTAAATAGGATCCTCAAACCACTACTATTATGTCTCGTACCCACTGCCAGCCCTGTTTATAGGCCTTATCTTCATGAATCTGTTTGGACATGTTTCGTTCCTAACGACATTGTCCCAGTCGTGGTTGATCCAGTAGATCATCTGTTCTGAACTCCAAGACACGTTGGAGAACTTATAACATCTTATATCATCTTGAATGATACGCATAAACTCTATAAATCTGCTTGAACATGTTTCGCTACTTGGGACATTATCTCAGTCGTGGATGGTACTGTGGATCGAATGATCTACACTTCAGGACAATTTGGAAATCTAGAACATCTTGAATAGGGGAAATGAATGTAATGTCGGCCTAAATGCCCCTAGTTTAGGCCAATACATAAATTCAGCAATCGACTAAATTTTCAATAGCGACCAAAAATATCCATTAGTACCGTTCCAGAGACGCGTTCATCTAGATAAAATTGATAAATAACAGATTTTTAGCGATGGGCCCAATCTTAGATCCACAGGCCAACATTTGAGCCATTTCCCCTACATGAAAGTTTTCGTTTAATAGTGGTTTTTAGATTTTATGAATCTCTTTGGATATGCTCAGTTGCTGAGGGCATCGAATTGGTTGATCTAGCCGATCAATCTGTACTCGTGAACAATTTAGAAGACTCAAAGTTGTTTAGTTATATGGAGTGGTTCTCAGAACTTCGTAACAATTTGCTGTTGTGATTCAACTTATTTTTTTATGGTTTTCATGGTTTGTAGACAAACGGCGCAATATGTTTTTTTTATATTTTGCATTGAAATTTTAGGTTTTTTTACTCAACATATCAAAAAATCAGCGATTTGTTTTTTTTTTTCGTTTTTGAGTTATATTTTTTTGAAGTTATTAAGTTTTGGGTTTTCGCTCAATACTCCTATGCGGCTAGACTATGCAATCTTCGAATTACTTCGTTATACACGCAACGCAACGCAAATACTCCTATGCGACTAGACGACCATGCGTATCCATTGATTTATAGCGACTGTAGTATGGTCAAGACGCATGGTAGTCTAGTTACGTAGGAGTATTGAGCGAAAACCCAAAACCTGATAACTTAAAAAAAATATAACTCAAAAACGAAAAAAAACAAATTGTTGATTTTTTGATATTGTGTGTAAAAAAGCCTAAAATTTCAAGGAAAAATATAAAAAAACATATTGCGCCGTTTGTCTACAAACCATGAAAACCATAAAAAAATTAGTTGAATCACAACAGCAGCGCTGTTTTATAACTTTTCAGATTCAAGCAGAAAAATGTGTAACCAAGTGGTACTCGATTATGACGACTGGGTTTGGGGAGAACGTTTATTTCATGAAAACAGTGATCAAATTACCTCTTTTTATTTGTAGATTTTTCAACAATTTTTATGAGAAATAGAAATTTGGATTTTAATTTAATCTATAAATGACAAAGTTATAAGCGTTCAAAACCTTACACCTTTTCGTGACGGTCGCAATTTTAGATTTTCGATTTACCCCCAGTCGAAATTCGATAGTGAGCATGCATAAGGGCGTAGCTGCGATGATAGATTTTCTCTTTTGTTAATAAGTCGCTTAAATTAACATTTCTCGGTGCGTTTTCTATTGCTTTTGATAGCCAATACAACCTGTTAAAGCACTACATTGAACAAATTTCAGATAATATTCAAGCTGAACATTGCATTAAGTCCTAAGTAACATTGATCGATTCTCTTCGTCGACTTTCTCTTTCGTTAATAACTTGAGTACATAACCGTTACTTGTTGTGTTTGTCGTATTAGATGCTAGATAAAAGCTTTTTTTATCGATCTGTATGCTGAAAATACCTGGGAATTGTGGTATACATAGTTGGCGTGGAATAATAATAATAATAATGATAAAGAAAAATTACAATTAATATTTGTATATATAATACAGTAAAGAGTAAAGTATGGCCCCTCAAGTTTTGACATACTCAATTTGAGTTGGATTCAGATAGCGTGTACCGTTGGATGGTCTAAATAAACCCACACATGTGCATGCGTGAACGAATTGAGCCTTGAGTGCATCGCTTCGCACGATTGAATCCAGGGTGGCCAGCAAACCGGGAAAACCGGGAATACCGGGAAATATCCGGGAATTTGAAATGTAACCGGGAAAAACGCGGGAATTCGGCGAGAGAACCTGGAAAATAAATTAACCATACCATAGGAACAAATTTTTACACCAGAATTTCAGAATAAATTATTAAAACAGAGTGATCCTTTACCAAATGAATGTTTTGCTCTATTTGCTGCATAATTTTCTTCAGTTTCCCGTGTTATTGTTTTTAGAATTTAATCACTCAGCAATATTGCGAATTGATTTTTGTCGTCTCAGTTTCAGATGTAAAGTGCATGGTCCTTAAAAGGAAATATTGAAGATGCTTGACTTTGGAAACAAATATTTGTAAAATCCGAAACTGAATTATTCTTTTCCGGGGGTTTAATTTTTCGTTGTTCAAAATTCTCATGACATGAATTCCAGAACTAACTTGGAATTCTGCTCTGAATTATCTTGAAATTGTTCTGAATTAAACCTGAAGACACTCCGCATAATATTTTCCGTTGAATTCTTTTTGGAATTTCCTTGCAAACCCTTCTAAGAATTTAATTGGAATGCTTCTTAGCCTATCCGGAGACTTTGATTCCTTTGAAAATATTTTCAAAAATTTCTTT